AATGTGTATTGGGATTGGACATGTTGGGGGGGGGTATCCCTCAATCTCAATTCTTGCTGGGTATAAGAAAACTACATGTACATGTAGGATAGAACAGATTGAGAGGAAGGAAGGCGCTTCAGGAAATGGGGATTCAATTCACACCCTGGAAATGCCTGATGATTGTTCCAGTTGACTGAACTGAGCTGAGAAATTAGAGAGTAATACTCTCTATTCAGTTGAAATTATGTGGTTACCCTGTTGATAACCATCTCGTATAGTTTTTCCTTCAGTCTACTAATTGTTTAATTGTGGACATGAACAAATAATAGTACATGTACATTCTTTTATTTAGTTGGTTAGTCATGTATACATGTACGTGCACTTGTACATGTCATTTATGTGGTGTCTATGGAAATTATTAGACAAAATTTTTCATTTTTTATACACGTTGATACAAGTATGATGGTTCCTTTTTGATTTTTATTTCTATGTCGGATTATTACCTTATTCATGTGACATACATTTAGCTTGTATATTGTTATTGTTACAATTTCATCATTGGGCACTGGTATGATATCTCAATGTGCAGTCAGCGGAATTTCCTGGATGTACGGTGGATGCCTACTTATCGTTATTTGATGGAAATAACAGCGGTAAAAAGAATGTCACAGTTGTGCATTTAACTCAGTGACTTTGTCATTTAGGTTAGAGTTGGTAGGATGCCGCAGTGACCTTGTGATAGGGTGTGGCTGGTATGTACCAGTGTGTAAGTCCATAAATTTATAACCTCAGCACTAAAGTACCAAAGTGTGACGTCACTGTGAACCAGAAAGTGCAGTGCAAACGAATGGAGTACGCGCGCGTGTTGGTTCACGCACTGGTTCTCACGCTAATGCGCTTTTACACACTAATTGTGCTTGTGATGTATTCAATTCGGTCCTCTCTTGCTGTTAATGTGGAACTGCTTGGCTTGGAAGTATCACAAGGTCATACTGCACCTGCTCATAAATATCACTGTCCCAGCCTTACTGAGCAAGGACAACTACCAAAGCCTCTTTGGGTCTGAAGTGTGAATACTTAGGATGTAAAAATAGCCTGATAGTATGACCTTAGATGGTGTGATAGAGTACTGTGGGAGCATACAGGTAAATGCCGCTTTACAACCAAGCTTCTCCCTCATTTACTCGCAAATTTGTTGTTAAAGTGTACTTTGAAAAGAGCCTTGAGCCAACTCCTTTACATCATATTTTATAATGTTATCCTCCTAGCTCCTTTGAGCTGATTTTACAGAATCTTGTGGGATTGAAGGACAGATTGCAGCCTCTAGATCACAGATTGGATTGTTTCTTACAAATTTCTCCGTAGAAAAGTTAAAGCACGATACAAAAATAACAATTTTCAGTTTGGTTTTACAGTGGAATAGTTAGGAGAATTTTGAAGTCCCTCAAACGTTCTAGGGGGGTAGGGTTGTTAGTATTTGTCCCCACAGCAAACACTTTTATTAAAGGTTTGTGAAGAAAAAAATCTTAAAATAAAACTGAATGCACTATGCAGTTAATTACAAAAAAAAAAAAGATTTTTCTGGTGGAGACTACTTTATTTTGGTTTTGGCATTAACTTTTTTATGACACATCCAACTGTTGTGGTAAAAGTTTGCTTCCAACTTGTTCGTTCTCCTGACTCCTACAACATTAAATTAACCCTAACAGTCCTCAGTCCTCCAACAGGTGAAGGGTTGAGGACTGTTAGGGTTAATGTAAATTATTCATGTATGTATCTCATCAAGATTTTTGCTTTTTTTCTATTCAGTTAATATCAGATTACTGTTTGATTCGTATAACTCATAAAATGTACAGCTTTGTATATGTACATGTAAGCACATGTAAGCACATGTAAATTTAATATAATTGCCAGTTGCCAATACAAGAAATCACTTTTATTATTCTGTAATGATATTGTCAGTTACATTGTGGTACATGTTCATATTTTTTATGTTAACTTGTACTGCCCCATTGATCATTTTTGTGGAAACGGCACATTATAAATGTTCAATATTAATATTATTATTAATTCAGATGTATTTATAAGGAACATTGCAAATGATGAAATTACATACACACTTGCCGCAGTGCGAGTAGTCAGAGACAGTTTTTTTTTGTTGCTTTATAAACATGAATTCATTTGGAGAGCAAAAAGTTAATGTCATTTCAAAGAGCAGATTTAATCTAATTTTTAGTCATGATTTCTTGGAAAAGATTTTTTTTTAAATCTGCAGACATTAAAAGTTACATTTCATACCTGATCCTTTTCATGAGGTTTCAATATTTCTTTACTTTCTCAAACATCAGACAATTGGCATTTGAATCATTTGCCGATGCTTACCCAGTATGTTTTGATTAACAAGAAATAGTCAGTGTTGATATTTTTAGTGTCAATATTGCTAAGGAAACTGTATCTTTCTGGCTTCCTACTGCAAAGGTTGATCAAGGATGTTTAGTATTCTCAGGATTTAATTAATGAGTGTCATTATTGACATTGCTAGGTAACAAGATGGAAGACTGCTCTGCTAGGTTTAAGTAGGTGACTCAATAACTTGTCAAGCCATTTAACTGAAGGTCATGTAATGGACATCCCAAATCCTGTTAATTTCTAATGGTAGAGAATTTTACTGCATTTTAAAATTTTATTCCTCCAGACAGCTGTAAGTGCCATGTCCATAGTCCCATGTGGGTACACATATACCGGTTCTTGTACTGACCATGTAGACTGCATTTTGGACCAGGATGTGGATACTGGATACTCTATTGTTGTTGATCCATAAAGAATGTTGTTGATCAACTTGTGGATAGCTGAAAAGTACATGTACCTGAAGTTTTTTGTCTTTCTCCAGTTTGTCTTTGCCCAGTTGTCTTGTTGTAGACGGTACTGTCCCTGCATTGTGGGTTGTGGTTTATGGAGGTTTTCGCTCACAGTAACCTTGCTCCAAAAGCTGAGAAAAGTGCATGGCTGTTCATGTACATTTAACTTTTCATACCAGTAACTTGCATGTTTGCCCACCGCATAGCATTAGTGTTTTGGAATGAGTTTTAGTTTGGAACTGTCAATTCATTGACTGCTCTGCAAATTTGAATATGTCATGTAAAATATGGAGTTTGTACTAAAACCCAGACAACAGACAACCAAGTATATTTTAATAATTTTTGTTGTACTTTGTCTGTACCATGCGTACCAGCAAAACTGCACAATATATACAGTGTATTTACCGTACATACAAGTAATTGTTCAAGGCCTGTGTGCATATGCTGCGGATATTAAGTTCAAGGCCTAGGTATTGAATCCAGCAGTGTTCAGGCATCTAGGGTTACGGTGTGCGCGTGAATGATATGCTTGGCAGCCAAGCAGATGGATTGCCTTGGAAGGTTTGTGACAGTTGGGGGTTTTTCTCTGAAATGCAGATTTGTCAACTGTCAAGTAGGCCTACAGGCTACACACTTACATGCAACTAACTTTGTTAGGAATCTAAGGTACATGGATGCGAAAGATTGCGTGGTTTGCATTTAATTTGACTTATAACCACTACAGCCAAAGGTGTCATTCACTTCTGAAAAGTTGTGGGGGAGGGCATGCACATGTCATATCTAAAAACAAAAGCAAAACCAGTCCTTGGTGTGGTTGCATCCTGTAGCCAATTTCTGACCACTTTACCCAATTTCTTTTCGTATTTTTGGACCTTGTTTAATCAAGTTTGATGACATTAAGCTATTATAAGCTGTAGGCCTATAGAATCAATTGCAATCCTAAAATTTTATTCAACAAAAAAATGGGGGGGGGGACTACAAACAGTATATCACTGCCCTCCCACATCCAGCACTTTAAGGGGGACATGTCTCACCTTCCCCCAATGAGCCCTTGACCACATTAGCATCACCACATGTAAATGGGCCTTGAATTTATGTAAAGGCCATCTGTGCAGTGCACACTGTGAAGGTATAGCCCTGTTTGTATGAGGTGTTCTCACAGAGGGACAGAAGGTATTATTTACACATTAGATTGGACAGAACTTGACACCCATCCTGTGGCATTGACACTCATTGTAGGCCGGTAGTTCGTAGTGCTGGTATACATGTATGTGTACTGGTCATTCACAGGATGGTATTAATACTTACTGGAACAGGAAGTAAAAGGCCATAGTTGACGTTTGATGTGGTTGTCAGAAGGTTTTGAGCTTGTGGTTGAGATAGTGGTGTACAGGTACAGCGGCAGATTAAGACCAGGGAATGTGGGCTACCATCACATCAGCGACTTGTCACGCACCTAATCTAAATGCATACATCGCTGACTATGCAGTTTTGCCTCTTCATAAAAGTACATACATTTGGCTCTTTGTTCCTTTTCTAGGATAGACAGGTGCATAAGATACCGTAGATAGGCAAAATTCTATTTGTATTTGTTTATTAGTTTGTCAGAGAACCACAGTGAGACTTTGCTCAGATTTATGGTAAGATTATCAGGGTATGTGTCCTAAATTGCTTACAAAAAAACTAATGCTACACTGTTGTATGTATAGTACCAGGATTATTGACCCTGATGTACAGACCTGTACATGTTAGGAGGCCATTGTAATATTCAAGGTACACTTCAATTCTCAGGCATTTTTATTCTAATTCATGTGTAGACTACATGTACACACATGTTCAGTTGCAAAAGACAAGTTTACTTTTTTTAATCTCTTGTCACCATGTAAACCCATAGTCACAAAAATGTACTTGGAGAGATGTGATGGACGTTTTGCTCAAATGGAATTGTGTTGTGTACCGGTATTTGAACAGTTTTTGCGAGATTTGTTGAATCATTGCAGAAACTTTTCTCCATTTCTTCTGCTTGCCATGTTTTTATGCAACATAATGTTTCCTGAATTTTTAAAAACTTGTTCAAAGAAATGAAGATATTGGAAATTTATGCCTGCAGGCCTATATTTAAGCCCCGTACAAAACATGAAGAAGTTACAGATCTCATGACTTGCAGTTTTTAGGATTGAGACTTAATTCTCGCTCTCTGTATTTTTTATGCCACTCTACAGAAACCTTCTCACCAAGCTAGAAAATTCCATGCTGTGTCTACACCCCTGACCTGTTGAACTAGGCAATATCCTGGGAGTATTGACATGGAGCATTTGCTTAAAGGACAGGTCCCTTGATTGAGTCAGGCAAAAAAAGGTTTGTTGGATTTCACTTTAAAAATAGAACCACTTAATTTCTTCCTCAACAGGTGGAGGTAAATGATTGACAAGTCTCATCATAACACAGACGTCAGAAACGCTTCAAATTAAGACAACCACACATGAACCTCAGGACATTTTAAGCGTGTTCAGATAAGACTTGAACGTTTTCATGTTGGAAGAACTATGTGAGCAAAACGATCGCGGTTACACCATGGATCAATCTCTTTCTTGAGTATGTGTGGTTCTGAGAAGAACCGGGGAATAACTCAACATTTCGAACAGGGTACTCTGTCCGTCTTCAGGAGACTTAAGCTTGTTCAGTTGGATTTTCAGTTGACGTCCAGTGATGTACCGGTACATTGCCCCCTTGAAACTAAATGACTTGTATTTGGATTTTCCAAAATATGTGGAAAGTGAAATCATAGACTCAACTAAAAACAGCTGCTGTCATTTCTACACGTACTTCTTGTTCCTTTTTGTTTTCAGTTTCATTTGAAGTTCTGTAATTTACGTATTACGTACAAGGTCCCAGTACTTCTACATGTATTTTGTCATCATGTTGCCAAACAATTTATTTGGAATTGTAGACTAGTCTAAAAGCTAGTGTGGTTATGCTATTGCTATCAACAAAGCACCAAAGCTACTGATGTTTTATGTAAAAACCATACTTCATTTTTGCTACTAGTTGTACTTGTATCACACAATGTGAAAACAGCCACCTTGTTGACACTATCCTTTGTGGCCTATCCTGTTCATGTATGTACAGATGTGTACTTGACACCTGCAGTTTATTTTCTTGGTGGTTTTCATAGTAGAAATGTTTTTCAAGATGAAGCCTTCGTCATTATTGTCTATTTGATTTGCTGTTCTGGATTGAAAGTAACCAATCAAAATGTCTGTAGCTTTGTTATCTGGTGGGTCTAGTTTGGCAATCTGGGGAGTTAAGGTTTAGCCATGCATGCCTGCTGAGGTTCAAGCTTTGTCGTCACATTGTGTAAAGATTTCAATGTAAATTCAGAATCCTGTCTATTGTGGTGGGCATTCAAAAGGCATCCGCCTAGTGTGATTCATATTGATTATTCTGCTTGAAGGCCATCATTCATAGTATTATTCAAATTAA